GGGTGAAAGATTTAAGGAGTAGCGTTGACAGGACCTAACCACCGAATGTGAAGGGAAGAGAGGAGTCGGGTGACTCATTTGTGCTTGAGTGACTGGGAATTGACATTAATTAAAAGGGGAAATATAGGAGGTGGCACTGGCTTGAGAGAGAGCCTGATGGGTTTATTTTAGGGCATGCTGAGTTCAGATGCCGGTAGGACAGCCAGCTGGAGCAGGGCAGGAGGCGGGCCAAGGCTGGGCTGAAGCTCTGAAGAGATGGAGGAGTTGCAGCTCTTTCTTGGTGGTGGTTGCTGTGGATGCAGAGGGGGAAACCCAGGATGGGGAGAGAGAGATGCTGGTGCCCCTCCAGGTCTCACCTGGCCAGCCAGGAGGAAGGAGGGAAGTCAAGGATGGAGGCTGAGAGAGCTAGCCGTACGGTCTAATTGGACAGATTCAACAGCTAAGAAACAGTTCTGTGCACATATAAGGACCAAAAAAGCATGCTGGCATCAGTCTATGCTGCTGATTTGCATGAGGTGAGGGATGTGTGAGCTCTAAGGGAGCTTTACAGAGGAACAAGCAGGCTGCCGCAGCATCAAGCTTTCTGCAGGTGTGTGTGAGCCCTCGTGTTGATGCGGGAGTCAGAAGGGAGCCGGCTCTCTGAGTTTGCAGGCCAGGCTTGCCCAGCGTGCACGGGCTGCAGGGTGTTCCCACCGCCATCGACATCATCATCTCCCATCACAGCACATGGAAACAAACCGAGCACCTTGTTTGCTTTCGTAACTTCTGGGAGTTATTTTTGACGAGGAGATGGGAAAAGAGAGAAGGGAACTTTCATGCTTCCTGTTCTCAAGTCGTTTGTGAACTTTACCTTACGGCAAGAGGTCATCTGCACTTTGCCTCTTTAATTAATACGAAGCATGAGAGCCGCAGAAGTGGCCAAAGGGAAACAAAATCCAGATGGCATTGGCTTTTTGAAATATATGTATGTACACATAAAATGTAAAAATTACTGCTTTAACCATCTTTAAAAATTATTTTGAGTATTATTATTATTACTATTTTAATTGATTTCAGAGAGAAAGGGAGAGGGAGAGAGAGATAGAAACATCAATGATGAGAGAATCATTGATTGGCTGCCTCTTGCACGCCCCCTACTGGGAATCCAGCCCACAACCCGGGCATGTGCCCATGCCTGGAATCGAACCTGGGACCCTGCAGTCCGTAGGCCGCACTCTATCCACTGAGCCAAACCAGCTAGGGCCCACTTTAACCATTTTTAAGTGTAGAGTTCTGCAGCATTAAATCTGCTGACATTGTTGTGCATCCATCACCCCAATCCATCCTCAGGACATTTCTCATCTTGCAAAACTGAAACTCTGTACCCATTAGACAAGAACTACCCATTCTCCCCTCTCCCAGCCCCTGGCAACCACCATTCTATATTTATCTCTGTGAATCTGACAGTTCTAGGTGCCTCCCATAAGTGGAATCATGCAGTATTTATCTTTGTGTGATCGGTTTCTTTCCCTTAACACAATGTCTTCAAGGTTCATTTCTCTTGTACATGTGTAGAATTTTCTAACCTTTTAAGGCTGAATAATATTTCATTGTATATATATAGACCACGTTTTGTTTATCTATCAGGCCATGGGCAATTTAGGTTGCTTCCACCTTTGGGCCATTGCTGCTATAAATACCCGTTCATGCCCCCGTTTTCCGTTCTTTGGGTGTGGACCCAGAGGTGCCCGCTGGCTTCTGTGGCATTGTTGATCCCTCTCTCTGTTGGGGATTGCTGGAACCGCTCGCCGTCTCCCCAGCCTTCTGATGCTGCCTTTGTTTGTTACTCCTCTGCTTTGGCTCATGGGAGAGTCTCAGGTGTGTCCCTAGGCCGGGCTTCCTGACCACCTGGAGAGCCGTGACTGAGCCCCTGCCTGTGGTGTTACATCTTGCCCACCAGTGCCCTCCTGGAGTTGGCACCAGGAAGATCTAATTTCAGTTCTAATCTCAGTACTTCCACTCATGTGCTGACCTTGGCAAGTTTTCTCACTTCTCTCTGGGCCTCTGTTTCCACATCCCCACAGTGACAAGGTTGAACTAAGCAAGATGTAGGGTCCCTCCCAGATCACAGAGGGGGAGGTACAGTGGCCTCCTAAACCCAGGAACCAAGGTGGGTGAGAGGAAAGCAGAGCTCCAGACTCCTAACCTGGGTGCTTTGACCAAAAACTCCGCCAGAAATCGCAGGTGCTTAGATGTTTCTGATGGCTTGCGTACTTGCTACCTTCTGATATGCGCTGCATGGCTAGTTTTGTAAGTAAATGGAGCCGTAATATCCCTTAAAGCAAAACGATGTGATCTGTATTATCCACCCTTTGTTGAGAGAATGGGACAAAGAGAGGTGGAATAACAGGTTTCACCACCATAGATTTTTGGCAGATGTCACAAACTGACAACTGGAGAAAACACTCTATAGGCAAATTTTACTTCTGATGAAGACTAGCTTGGTCATGGGCCAAGAAAAGTTTTAACCCCCTTCTTCCCTTATTTCTTTTAAAAAAATGTAAAGGACAGACTTCTTCCTTCTCCTTAGTTTACATTCAGAGCAAGACCCTCTCCTAAACCAGGAGCTAAGTCCTAGGAGGTCACCCGCGTGATCACGTTCAGACCCCTGGGTGGCAGAGGAAGACTTGGACTGGCCTCTGGTTGCTGGGCTGGCTTTGAGGCCAGGCCCTAATCCTCCCGTCGGTTCTTTCTCTGCCCACCATCGAAACACCGTGTACCTAGCGGGGACTTGGCTTTTTTTCCTTCCCCTCATTTGTTAAACTGGCCAATGGGAAACTGTAAAGAAAAAAAACTTGACTGTTTTGGTTGTCCTTTTCCCTAAGGATGTGGTGTTGGGAGGTTAGGGTGACTAGAATCCACTTGGAGCCTGTGTGGAAATATATAGCATTGTCTTTTTAGGAGACATTTGAACCATCTAATTTAAAAATAAGACTTTCCTTAAGTCCTACTACTACCAAGTCATGTTTTTTGTGTGTGTTTTTTTAAAACATATTTTATTGATTTTTTACAGAGAGAAAGGGAGAGGGATAGAGAGTTAGAAACATCAATGAGAGAGAAACATTGATCAGCTGCCTCCTGCACACTCCCCACTGGGGATGTGCCCGCAACCAAGGTACATGCCCTTGACCGGAATCAAACCTGGGACCCTTCAGTCCGCAGGCCGACGCTCTATCCACTGAGCCAAACTGATTAGGGCAAGTCATGTTTTTTTAATGTATGAAAAATTAAAAAACAATTTTGAAGACTGAAGAACTTTCCGTGGTGATTGGGACCAGCTTATGACAGTATGGGGAACATAGGGAGGAAACCCATATGGGATGAGACTCTAAAAGAAATGAATAGATTAGAAAAGACAAAGATTAATCCTAAAACCTAACAGTCCTCCTCGGTTTTTGGGACCATGGCCTTAGACCAGTGATGGCGAACCTTTTGAGCTCGGCGTGTCAGCATTTTGAAAAACCCTAACTTAACTCTGGTGCCATGTCACATATAGAAATTTTTTGATATTTGCAGCCATAGTAAAACAAAGACTTATATTTTTTATATTTATTTTATATACTTAAATGCCATTTAACAAAGAAAAATCAACCAAAAAAATGAGTTCGAGAGTCACCTCTGACACACGTGTCATAGGTTCGCCATCACTGCCTTAGACCAACGGCTCCTCTTTTGTTCCTGGTGATTGTAGCTGCTCGGGGACTGTCTGTACATTAATGACAATATGTTTTTCTCATTTAAATAGTTTCTGTAAATTTTCACATCTACCATGAAGGCTTTGGGGTTTGGGGGACTGTGTCTCTGGTTGATGGATCATGAAAGACCCCTTTGGCTCCAGCTGCAAAATAAGATGAGTTTTACACATAGTGGAAGTCACGATGTATGTGTGTGTTGGTTTGGAGGAGACTATTTTTAAAAATTCTGTTTCCTGACAAAATTGTAGAGAGTAAAAATCAAATCATCTTTTTGTTGCTGACATTCTAGCAGGAGTAAGTGTTCTCAAGGGCTGGCTGGTCCTCTGTGTTTGCTAGTAGTGGTCTGGGGTGCAAGATGGGAATGTGGTAGATGTGTTGGAGTCATCATGATAAGTAGCCCTTATACACCAATGCGCTTCTCTTTAAAATTATTTAAAGTCTCAATTTTGATTCCCATTTGAATGCGATAAAAAAACCTGGCACTTTAACCCTTTGCGGTCCAATGTTATTTTTGGAATTCAAACCGTCTGGTCCAAATTAATTGACGGGATTGAAGGTTGAACTTTTTAATGTTCTTATTGCTCGGCGTTGGACCTGCTCCTAGCGCCTGGTCTGTTGAGTCAGCCTCGAGGTTGGACCGAAAAGGGTTAATAAGTGCAAAATATTTCATTCATTGTGAACTGTTAGGTCTCGGGGTAGAAAGTTTCTTGGCCTGTCATACTGGCTTCACTTTTTTTTTTTTTAACTTATCTTCAGTGTTGAAAGTATTACAGATGCCCCCCCCACCGACCCCTCCCGCCATTGGCCCCCTTCCCCCCCTGCTCCTCTCCCCTCCCCAGGCCTTCCCTGCACTGGCTTCACATTTTTTATGTATGTGAAATGCACATTTTGTTATATTTTTGTTTTCTTGTGCCTGAAGTCTTCAGTCCACCTCAGGGGGTGTAGGGTTGTCTGTATAATGAAACTACAGTGATTCCATCACCAAGGTGTGCGTGCTGTGCTGATGGAAAGAGGTGATCTGCCGATGCCTGCAGGAGGAAGCCCCGGATGACTTCTGCCAGGATCTGAACCCCCCCCGGCTCCATACTCCCAGAAAATTAAAATCGTCTTTAGCAGCATGGATTCAGTCCGCTCGCAGGGCAAGGGTTGGCTCAGTCTCTTACAAACACAGTTTAGCTGGATGTACTCATAAATGAAAAATGATCTGAGTGCTGTGGGTGGGGCCCTCGAGCTCAGGAGGTGAAGCCGGGAGGAGGGGACAGAGAATCGGCTCCTGAGTTAAGAAGCATGGGAGGCCGGCGGGGTGTCGGAGCGCACACCGGCATGGCTTACATCGCTGTTGATAGTTAATAACCCAGGATGTTAAAGAACTGAACGGAGAAGGGAAATGAACCACAACAAACTTTGGAGTCTGTCCTAGGGAAGAGGCTGTGAAGCACAGAGGAGAACACGCATCTGACCCACTTGTGAAGCAGGTAGGAGGGAAGAAGACCTGAGAGGCGAAGAGAATTATCTCTCTGAACACTTGTCTTCCAAGAAGTGTGTGAGAAACGAGGAGACGATATTGACATAGGAAACAGACTTAGCCTGAATTGTGCTATCGGTCCAAGCAGGAGTTTTTCTGTTACTAGTTTGGCTAAATGACAGTTGCATTCTAGGGGTTGCTTATTTTTAAGAAATCACCCCAAATCATGTAGTGTTTAAATTGAAGCTGACTTTAAATTTGGGGGTGATAAAGGAACTGCCGACATTGTTTTAGAACAAATACTTTGAAGGTAGTCAGCCAGAAACTGATTTGAGGCTTGACCGTTGCTATATTTTCCTATTCAGAGCCAACACGGTACTTTGCTCATTTCTGCTACTTTTGTAAGTAGATGTATAGCAGCTGTAAAATGTCCAGAACTGACGGGTCCAAGGTGAAGCCTGAATGACTAATGTTTTCTCCATTTTCTCCATTAAGGCAGGGAATTGCCAAGGAAAGTGTGGGTCCTGAATATTTGTTATGGAGGGTGGGGAGGGAAAGAGGGGCAGAGAGTCAGAAATGGTCACAGTGACACGTCATACTCAGCAGTAGGAAATAAATGAGGAGGGCCATGGATTGCAGCCACACGCGATGATAATTCAGGCTGGTCTGTGGTTCCTGTGGTTCCTGTGGTTGTAGCTGAGTCTCAGAGCATCCTTGCCATGGTGGGGGCTCAGGATAAGAGAAGCAGAGCAGAATGAAGACCATCTCAAGCCTGGGTTTCTGAGCCATTTCCAGGCCTGGCTTCTGATCGGCGCCTGAATAATTTTGCGTGGGTTTCCCCCTAATGAAGTGGTCAGAGTGTTGTTGAATGGAGCTAACATGGGTTAGGTCAGAAATGGCGTGTGTGGCCAGAGTGACAGGAGCATCAGAATTAGGTAGAGAACTTGATTTCAGTTAAATAGACCAGCCTGAATACTGGCGCTCTTGGATTTGAGCTTTTGAGAATGCCTGTTTGCCACAGGGGTGTGCCTGAGAAGGCAGAGGTGAGAGCTGCTTGCTTGGCGCTCATTGGCTGGCTGTTGTCCTCATGCTATGGTGGCCAAATCTTGTGGCTTTGTCTTTTAGGCCTGGAGGGCTGGGAGATGCCTGTGCTTAGTCAAGACAGGCCTGTGTACTTTATTGCTAATCTCTCTCCTGGGGGGGGGGGGGGGTGGACAACAACACCTCCTGTGGTCTTTAAAAAACTCTTGTTCTCACCTGCTGTCCACCTGTTGGGTAGGTTCCCTTTGTCTCCCACCCTTCACACTGTCTGTCCCAGGTGCTGTTTGCATTGGATTAAGCTGAGCTGGGGGATAGGCTCCTTTCCAGGGTCCACTCTGAAATCAGTCAGAAGTCAGAAAACTATGGCCTGTGGGCCAAGTCCAGATTGTCTCAACCTGTTTTTCTAGGTCTTGGAGCTAAAAATGCATTATATTTTATTTGATTTTATTATTTTAAAAATATATCTTTGTTGATTTCAGAGAGGAAGGTAGAGGGAAAGAGAGAGAGAGAAACATCAATGATGAGAGAGAATCATTGATCGGCTACCTCCTGCATGCCCCCCACTGGGAATCGAGCCCACAGCCCGGGTATGTGCCCCTGACCGGAATCGAACCTGGGACCCTTCAGTCCGCAGACTGACGCTCTGTCCATTGAGCCAAACCATCTAGGGCTAAGAATGCATTTTACATTTTAAAACATTGAAGAACAAAGAATACAGGACACAGCCAGATGTGGCCTGCACAGCCTAAAACATTTACTATCTGAGCCTTTAGAGAAAATAGCTGCCAACTCCTGGTTAACATCACTCATGAGCTGTGGGATCCGTGGGCTGATGCAGCTCATTGAGTCCTTCACAGTTGAATGGGCTATTATTTTGGAAAATGATTTTAGTTACTCAGTCTGTGTTAAATGGCATTGTCCAGAAGGGTAGATTTAGGGGCGAGGAAGTTGAAGATTTTCTGCAAGGTCTGAACAATGGACATGAACTCTAGGTCTATGGTTAGATCTTCACCACCGCCCCCCCTCCCCCCTCATTGGTGCAGCTGCTCAGGAAGATACCTATGAGACACACCCATGTTGACCTTGTCCCCTGCTGAGAGAACCTGCTGGGGACCAACACTCTGCTAACTCACACAAAAGTGAGTTACCTCCTTCTTTCTCTTGAGAACTGTCTCTGGCTAGACTTCTACAATTTACATGGTTTGGTGTTGCCACTTTGAAAAAAAATAAGAGAGAGAGTGTTAAGTGGATATCATGTTTTCTCATATTTAGAACAGTTTCTTTATTGCTGTCTAAGAAAGCTTACTGTAGACCCGCCAGCCTTCCCCCAGAACATGTCATTCTCTGCGAGCCAGCACAGTATGCTGGCCTGGACATGGAGCTGGCTTCTGTAAGAAGCTATAGTCTGTTGCGGAAATACAGGAAAGTTTTCACAAAAACATTACAGTTTAAGAAGCAAAATAAAATAGCTGGCATAGTTTTTCCCCCACAGGACGGTTCGGTCATCTATCCTCCTGTATTTGCAAATTAGATGCTGTCAGTGGAGAAGAATGGGGGTGGGGCCTAGTTTGACGGATGGAAACAAGTGAGGAGGGGTGAAGCTATGTTCAGCGTGGTGCCCATGGGAGCTGGCGCCTGGAAACAAGATGGCAGCAACGCACTTGACCTGTCGATGTCAGCTGTAAGGGCGGGTCCTTTCATCCACCTCCTGAGCCAGGCAGCACCTTTGTCTGTATTTGGAAAGGGGGTTGGCTCTGAGTTTAGAGATTAAGCAACCTGCTATTCCTGTATGCACTGGAATTTCAGACACCCGCAGAAACCTGATTTGCGTAACTGCTGGAACCCAACTGAAAGCCAAGCCAATGGAGGCCTGGACTCGGCAAGTGATGGGCAGTTAGAAATCTCAACATGTGAGGGGAAGTGTCAAGATTGCCCAAGAGGGTGTGGTGCTGCTGTGTGGCCCGGCTCAATGGGCAGGCTCTGGGGTGAAGAGTCATGTTGGGTTCCCAGCAGGCCATGATCAGAGGATGAGTAAGTGCTCTCTCTGCATGCACTTACTCTCGAACTACCTGGTATTTCAAGGTAGCAAGAGGGACCTGTTCACTTCTGAAGCATGTGACCAAGCTGGCTTATGAAAAGACAGAGCAGTCAGGCAGGCAAAGTCTTATCATGAGCTAAAGTGGAGGACAAGCTGTGAACAGCCCTTACTTAGCCCACGTATTTATAGAATGTTGGGAAGGCAGAATGTTCTCAGAGTTGGAGCACCTGCCCTTTGGCTATCTGAATAGGGCTGGAGTGTGACCTCTTGTTTCAGCTTTGTCCTGATGGTGAATGGAATAGAAGATTGAGCTAGATGTGTTCATATGTGTGTAAACCTAGAGAGGAGGAACAGCCAAGCACAAAGAAGTTACGATTCTGAGTTACAAAGAGAAAACTTGAGACCTTTTCCATAAAAGAGGGTCAATAACTTCTGCCCCTCTTAAGAACTTCTGTAGGCAACGCACCCTCTCACTTCCAGACCCGGTTTCTATACATTTCCTGCAGTGGGATCAGAGGCTGTTGCACAAAATCCCTCTCACGCTGGAGGTCCCTGTTGGAGCTCTGTCTCTTCCTTAGAAAAGATGAGAGCATTCCTCCTCCATTGGCATGCACCTGTTCGCTTAGCAGGAGAAGCTGGTTGGGCTCCTCTAGGAGACCTTTCCATGGCTTTGCTGTCCCTGCGGGCACCTCGGCCCCATGTGTCCTTGGTTTGTGAAATCCAGGTGTGCATTGTGTGCAGCCACACTGCGACTCCACAGGGCACGATGTGAGCGTACGGTCTTGGCTTAGATATAAGGTCCCTCTACAGTGAGTCAGACCAGAACAGCAATTGACCTGGGACTCTGGGTCTGCCTCCTTTTTATCATCCGTTCCTGAAGAAGCGCCCCAACTATGTTTCACATGCACCAGAGGGAATCCACACTCTGAGGGACCCAAAGTCACTCCTTTGGTCAAAGACAGGCTCGCCCCACAGTTGGATTGTTTGTAATTTTGAGGTTTGAAGGCTATCAGGTTGGCTTAGAGCAAGACACACTTGGTCCATCTTTTTTTGCCTTTCTCATGTCCACACTATTTTTCTCCCTACATTAGAAGATGGAAACCAAGTTGGAAATTGGCAGAGCAGGGCAAGTCTGAGAAAGGGCCACCGGGGCCCTTGAGCATCAGTTCCGTTAAAAGGCCTCTATTTCAGCGAGACTCTTCAGACTTCGGGGCAAAACAACAGTTACAGATTGCTTCCTTAAAGAGTAGATAGGTGGCCTTATGTTTATCTAGTATATTTCTCCAGGCCTTGCCCTTTTAATAAAAACTGATATATTTTTGTGAGCTCTCCTCCCTACCCCTCCAAAAAAAAAGTGGTCCTGCAGTGAACAATTTAGAATTCCCACCGAAATCAGAACATAAATGGAAGTGCCCTGAGTAGGGGGGTGGGGGTTAGGGCAACTCAAATGCACCATCCCTGCCCTTCATTTGAAAGGCATGAATCTCGGGCCTCATCATGGTGCTCTCCATGGGACAGAAACCCTTTAATTTGCCTTTGCTGCTGTTTCCGCCCCGTTGGCGAAAGTGTTTTTCTTTTCTCCTGCTGGCTGGCTCTACCAGCAAGAGGGTCTGTCTTCCAAGGAGCCCCCGTCAACTTCACCTTGCAGCGCTTTGACTTAAGCTCCCAGACGGCTGCCTGTGGGGTAGAGGGTGGCCTGTTGGCAGTAAGCTGCTGGCTTTGGAAAACATCACAGGTATTTTATTATAACAGATGCAAGACAGTGTTGGCAGGGGAGCAATCCAGTCCTGGAAGGGAAACAGAAAATCACCTCTGAGCACTGCAGGGAAGAAAGTGGCAGAAATGAAGGCTGCAGTTGGGGTTTGCAAAGCTGAGTCCATTGCACAACTCTTTTTACAGGCTAGAACTTGCTTGACTTCAGTTTCTCCCTC